ACTCCTGCGGAGTGCGGATGCTCCTTCCCACCATTCCCCAAGAGAAAAAAAACAAACCATCTGGTGGTTTGTAGTTTTTTTGAAAGCTCTGGTTGATTCCATGTCCCCTTTCCCATTCTTCTCTTTGTAAACCTCTGATTTTCCTAGGGTTTGGACCATTTGAGAAGGATGCCACAGAAGGGGGGACGGTGAGAAGGGTCATTCCATTCCGAATCGAATCCTCAAGTGCAGCCGGGGAGGGCTACCATCCCACTGACTGTTACGCGAGACGAACTCAGAAGCATCAACATCCAAAGAGCACCATTTCGAGCAATGTCTGTGTTTTTTTTGTCCAGCTTCATTTATTTCATGCCATGCAATGGTCAAGCACCTCAGCTTCTGGCGCTTTTTACTCTGGTTTGGCGATGCAATATGCAGTTCTGGCGACCGTTCGGGTTTTTGGCTCCCGGTGTCGCTGTAAGTCTCGTGAGGCGCTGGAGAGCCGGGTGGTCCAGGCGCAACAGGAGCGGTGCCGGTCCGATGCATTTGGCCGACAGCTCCGTCTGTTTGGAGTGGCCACCCCGTCCCTCTTTTTTTTTTTGGCGGTGGGTGGGGTGGGGGGGGGGCTGTAAAGGGACACCAAAAGGAGAGCCGAAACTCCATCTTGGGGCTCCAAACTCAAAACGACAGACCTGGCAGCCTCTCTAGCTGCAGCCTTTGAGTTGGTTTTTTGGTTGTTGATGCCCGAAGGTATGGCAGAATGGGAGCGGTTCAGCGGGAGCGGTTCAGCGATCCTGCCATGTTTGATGGTTTGTAAGCCTGGATCAGATGGGGAAGCACTGCTGACTATGGCCATGGTGGTGGTCTTGCGGCTCACGTGCGCGAGTTGGGATTCCCTAATGCAGTTGAAGTGAGCCCGTGGGGGCGCCTCTTGACGAACAGCTGGCACAAGTGGAAGATGTTTGCTTTTCCATTTTTGAGTTTTCCGAGGCTATCCTTTTCTCGGGCTTGTTTGAAAGGGAACCATTGGGAAGCCGCAGCCCGTCTTGGGAAAGCATGGTTTTCCCGCTTCAGCTTTCCTTTTGGCTTCCCTTTAAACCGCCGCCAGCAAGACGGGGCGGCGCGGTGCCGGTGCTTCCGGTGATTTCCAGGACTTCTTTGCGCTGCAGGGGGAGTTCACCGTGGCGAAGGTCCGCGTGGCCCAGCCATCGGTGGCAATCGGCCGGCGAGCGAGTGAAGTAGATAGGATAGGATGGGATAAATCGACAGACAGAAGGTAGACAGATTGATTGATAGATTGATGGATTGATATGATATGATATGATGTGATATGACATGATATGATGTAATGTGATGTGATATGACATGATATGATGTGATATGACATGATATTATGTGATGTGATATGATGTGATGTGATATGACATGATGTGATGTGACATGATATGATATGATGCGATGTGATATGACATGATATGACGTGATGTGATATGACATGATATGTTGTGATGTGATGTGATATGACATGACCTGATATGATGTGATGTGATATGACATATGATATGACGTGATGTGATATGACATGATATGATGTGATATGATATGATGTGATGTGATATGATATGATGTGATGTGATATGACATGATGTGATGTGATGTGATATGACATGATATGATGTAATGTGATGTGATATGACATGATATGATATGATGCGATATGACATGATCTGATATGATGTGATGTGATATGACATGATATGATGTGATGAGATATGACATGATATGATATGATGCGATGTGATATGACATATGATATGACGTGATGTGATATGACATGATATGTTGTGATGTCATATGGCATGACCTGATATGATGTGATGTGATATGACATATGATGTGATGTGATATGACATGATATGATATGATGTGATGTGATGTGATATGACATGATATGATATGATGTGACGTGATGTGATATGACATGATATGATATGATGTCATATGGCATGACCTGATATGATATGATGTGAGGTGACATATGATATGACGTGATGTGATATGACATGATATGATATGGTATGATGTGATGTGATATGACATATGATATGACGTGATGTGATATGACATGATATGATGTGATATGATATGATGTGATGTGATATGATATGATTGGATGGATGGATAGACAGACAGACATATTAGATACATGGATCGATGAAAAAGGATTGGTGAGTTGGCAATCGATTGGGTGTTTTGACAGCCATCCCATGGGTTTTCACGGAGAATCTGTGGGCTTCACTGGGGAAGCCGATCTTGTTCCTTTTCTTGGGATGGCTTAAATCCATCGGGTGAGCTTGTAGCTATGTTCGACACATTTGCGCTTCAAAACCCACCAACGGTTTGCTTGAGGGTTGAAAGGGATAGCCAAAATGCCCCGCATGGGTAGCGAGGACCGCTACAACGAGCGCATGGACGCCCTACGCCTGGCTCTGGAGGAGACGCCTGGGAAGGAAGCGACGATTCTGTTGTTGGTAGTTGCAGGGGAATGGAATTAGGCAGCCAATGGTTAATGGTTAACATCTTTTAGTTAACATCTTTTAAACATCTTACTTTAGCCAATACATCTATGTTTAATGATTGCTAGAGTGAGATGGGATACCTACCATCCTCGTTGGACAAGCACAGGGTTATGCAAAAGTTCACAGGCCACAGCCCACCCAAGTTGCCCAGGCAGGACCTCGCTCAGGCATCGTGTCTAAGCAGCACGAGCCATTGGGAAGCTGCGGCCTGAATCGCAGTGAATTTGGGAACCCCGCAGTGATGTAAACCCCGTGCTACTAAGAGGGGGCTGCTGCACACAAAAGGTGATCCGGATTCCCCACTAAAGCAGGGCCCCAATCAAAAAATCCACCAGACCGGGGCTCTCAACTGGGTTTGGGGCTCGTGGGCCCGGCTCATGGGATATGGCTTGCGCCTCAAAGAAGGCGGGTCAGGGATGCTCTGGTTGCAGAAAGGGAGCTACCAGGAATCGCCAACCGTTTCAGGGCACCGAATCCGATTTTGAGAGCCTCCCATGGGGTCAAAACCGTTTTGGGATCCCATGTTGGGGTAGGTGCACCACCGATTTCAGAACCTATTGGAGTGGGGATTGGGATGTTCACTGGGGGTGCAGGATTTGATATTTTTTGACCCATGGCCAAATATGTCTATTTTGGGGGATTGGGATGTTCACTGGGGGTACATATTTTTGACCCACAGCCATGTGAGTTTCTTTGCGCCTCAGGAGCAACAGGTGGCGGCGGAGCAAGCCGACCGGCGGGTGGTCTGCGCGGAGGAGTTGTTGCCTGGTGCTTCGAGGCGTTTGTTTGGCGCCGTGAGAATATGACATTTCTTTGGTTGAGCCGAATCCATTTTGGGGTCCCCACATTAAAGGTTGACGCCTTCCCAAAAGTCGTACCTTCCAATCTGGGCTGGTTTCTTGGAGTCAGAAAGTCTTCCTCTCCTCTCTGTCTCTCTCATTTCATTCGTTCGCGAAGACAGTATGTGGATCTAGGGTCTACGCAAGATGGACATGGCAGACAACAAAGACACAAAGGAACAAGAGACACACAATAGAATACATCATTGATGCCATATAAATCCCAAGCCTCTGATCCTCTTCCCTGTAAGCGAGGTCCAAGAGAAGCATGAAAGGATAGACCATTTCCTCGCCGTCATCAGAGAAGAAGAGATTCACAATCCTCATTGCTGGCCACTCTTCTTATTTGTATCCAGATGTTTGTAAACAAGATAGACAGATGACAAAGTGAATGAAGATGACACATGATCCGAAGGGCGGATATCTTTTCCTTGCAAATAATGCCAAAAAGATAGTAAACACAACAATTCAAGAACCTTATACGTATATAGATATATTTTATTATTGTTATTATTATCAGTATTGCTAATATTACTTCTAATACTATTACTATGATTATTATCATTATCATCGTCATCGTCATCGTCATCGTCATCGTCATCGTCATCATCATCATCATCATCATCATCATCATGATCATCTTCTTCATCATCATCATCATCATCATCATCATCATCATCATCAGCATCAACATGTTTCCTTATACTTCGAGTTCTTATTTCTTATTCATGTGTTACTTTCGACTTATGTTGTACTGTTATGATCTTCCTATGTTGGGCAATAATAGGAACGAGTATTAGTAAGGGCATCATATGCTTGCGACTGATAAACTCATTCCAGTGCCTTTCCATGCATCTTTGTGTGCAACAAAGTCTGTCCATGGCGAACAATGAAAACACGAATTGAGCAGATCGAAGAAGTACGTGCGGCCGATCGCCGGCTCGCCGGCTCGCCGGCTCGCATTGATCGGATCGCATTGCATTGGCCTCCTGGCAGGACCTAGTACGCTTCCACCAGGAGCAGAAGAGGATGATGTCGAACTACTGGAAGCAGCAGTGCCAGCACAAGGCCTCTGCGGGTGAGCCCGCGGGCGCTCCGATGGGTTCCGTCCGTTTCAGCTTCCCTCTAAGCCCAGAAAGGGAGCAAAAGGAACTAAAGCTCCAAAAATTAGGACTCCCGGATGCCAAAGAAATATGAGTATGTAATTGGGAACAGGTTGGCCACCCTGTGATTTGCCGCAACTGCTCTTTGCCGCAATGGCATCCAAAAAGGGGTCCCTGATTTTGAACCAGGCCCATACCCCATAGCCGCCATACTCCCAATGGTGTCGACAGCTGCCAGGATGACCACATCCGCACCCTGAACCGGCAGTTGATCGAGTGCGAAACCGAGCGGCCGGGCGCGAGACTGCCGCCAGGCTTTTTGCATGTGCAACCAACGGTCGGCAACAGATCTGGGGCTTGATTCCCCATTCTTTCCACAGCTCGTGTGTTTTCAGCAACCACCCTTTTCCCCCGAGTGTTTGGCGGCTTTCTGGAAAGAAGGATTGGAAGAAATATTGGAAGTTGTTAGAAGAGAACTCTTGTTTTCCGGGGTATGTTTGGGTCTTAGCCTTGAACAAAAACACACCCTGCGTGCAATATGGGCGGTGTTCCGTTTTGTGTCGGCGTTGCATGTGGCGGGAAACCAAAAGGCTCCTTTTTCAACGATATTCTGTGGGTCTGTCTTTTTGTTGAGGGCACCCCTTTTTATGGCTTCAAATGGAAACCAAAAGGAAACTGAGGTGCCCCCCCCAAAAGACCCCCCCCCCCCCCCCCCATTCTTTGGTTTTGAGGAAATGGCTTTGAGGCTTCCAGGTTAAGGTTAGGATGTCCCCAGAGGCTCTGATTGGTTAAGCAAACCCACATGTTCTCCATCAGAGGCTGGAGCCGGTTGTGGAACATCGGGTCGCCTGAATCCACTTCAATGCAGTGGTCACCAGGATTGGATTCCCACTTTATCAATGATAGGGAGGGGGCTTGGAAAACCATTTCTATGCGGCTGAATACCCATGTCACAAATGGTGATGTCATGAACTCTTGATAGGGGGAGAAACAAACGGGTTTCGTTCAACGGGACCACTACCGTGACCACCCACAATGAAATTAGACCCCGACCCCGAATAGGTCGGCTTGAATTGGTGGCGTTTGGGCCGTGATCAAATGGGAGACCACCCAACCTCCACACCTGAAGAAAGGAAAACACACACACAACAACAACACCGATTCGGCTCCAAACCAGCAACAGGTAGGCTGGATGGAATCGCTTGCTTGAGGTACACGATTGACTGGCAGCACTTGGGCATCCAGAGACAGACGGAGGTTCGCCGCTTCGCCGGTTCGCCGGTTCACCCACGGCCATGGACCAATCTTGCGCCCGTGTCTGAAAGAGGCGACCTGGCTGGTGCACCCTCTGGAAAGCCAGAGCCAGGGAGAGATCAACACAGGTTTGAACTAGTCCACGCGCCATAGATGGCCGTGGGTTTTTGGTCATGCTCGCAGCAGCGAAGCGGTCAAAAACATTGATATTCCTATGGTTTTTCATGCATCGGTGTTGCTTCAATCTCTGTGCTTGCAATTCCAGTGGGAATTAGCAAAGCCAGTGCTTCCACCAATAGAATTGCAACTTCAACATGCTTTCACGGAATCCCGCAAACTAACTGCCGATTTCACAAAATGTTGTCGATTCATCAAAATATATCAATTCTGCATACTGATGCGACCACCATCTTGCGACAACCATCTGATGTGTCACCCTGGAGCAGTCCTGGCAACACGTTTTCTTCCACTGGCTGACTGCATCCGTCCGGCGGAGTCCGGGACGGCAGGCAAGGCTCCCGAGAATGTGCTGGCGGCGGAGTCCGGGAGCGCCCGGCGGGGCGAACTGAAGAAGGTCCAGCACATGCGTCGTCAGGTTGAGCGGCCATGGCCGGGCCACGCGCGGGGAGACCGGCTAGCAGCCGGGCACCGAGCAGACGGTTCGAGACAACGTGGAGGCAGAACGCCAGCGAGACTAAGCGAGAGGGCGGAAAACACGCAGAACGCCTCAAGACGGAGCAATAAGCAGACCAAAGCACAGGCAAGCAAAGGCCAAGAGAGTCAAAGGCCAGTGGAAACCGATGAGGCAGCAAGACTATCTCCGCCACGAGCGACAAACACGGCGGGGTTCGCGTCACTATGTCAAAGAGAGAGTCCAGGTATTCAGGGCACACAGCAAGCAAAAACAGGATCCAGGATTGGGTGGCAGCGGAAAAGAGGAGACGAGCCAGCACAGCGCACGATCAGGACGAGACCTAAGGCAAGACGAGCATCCTCGGAAAGGTACATTTGAACCAAAACTGAAGACAAACATGAACGCTGTGGGTCCGAGATCACCCCCCCCCCCCACCCCACACTCCCCCCCCCCGGCTGAAAAATCAACGAAAACACACGGCCGTCTATGGCGCGTGGTCCAACTACCAAGCTGCTGGATCCTTCCTTTGGGTGCCCTTTGGCGGAGGCCAGGGTTGTAGTTGGCTGGATATATGCCCAACCCCGGTTTCAAGGATGCCAGATATCGTATCTTGCTCAGAGCAAGAGCTTCAGTGCCAGATCTACCCAGGCCAACGGCCCTGTTTGGGGAAGCAACAACTCCACGGCGTGGCTTCGGTCGATTTTGCCGGGGGGTTTTCCAGGCAATTTCAAATACTCCCATGGGCTCAAACTCACGAACGCTTGGAGGATTGGAAAGGCAAGCTGCGGATCGTCCTTGTCTGTCAGATTTTGGTATGGCAGCCTGGCAGCTTCTGTTTTTGGCGAGCTTGTGCCAATTCGAGTGTTACGAAGGCGCCAGTTGCCATCTGGCGCAAACCTTTCCCCAAAAAGGCCCTCTTGAAGAAACCGCCCTTCTGACTAGGCGTTTTTGATGGATGCTCCGGATGCCCACCAATGTGAACTTCGGAGCCCTCTAAAATGAGCTAATTTAGTTCCTCACCATTGACTCACCAAGCATCAGCGAATCCACCAATTCAGGGAATCTCCCGAAAGTGAGACCAACCGTCACAGAATCCCCTTAATTCCCCACCAAAAAGGGAGGGAGCCGCCATACCCAAAAGCACTGTCCGGACTCGGGAGTTGGCATCAGGCCAGCCTCTCGCACGAGCACTATTGCTTGGAGGCCTGCGAAATCCATCCGGATTTCGATCCATCGAGTGCGTGGTTTTCGTATTCTCCTTTCCAAGGTTGAAATGGGTCTTTTTGGAGCCCCCCAGGAAAAAGGGCGGTTGTTTTTTTCTGAGTTCTTCCGGGCGTTTCATCATGGTAGGAAACCCTTCGGATATTCCAACATGTAAAGCCTAAGGTGAGAAGCCCGAAGTGTTACCTACAGTGGCAAAACGCCGATCGGGCTAAGCACTGAGCGTACCGCCTAGTGGGCACTCGAGTCCCAAGGTGAACAGCTCTGGCAAACCCAGAAGAAATCTAAGCCCACTTTGTTTTTTTCCCCAACAGCTGAAAGCTTTGGGGTCTCAGCCCAGATAGGCTCCGGGGTGGTCCGGGGCGGCCCTCAGTAAGGTTCCACGAGGGTTCCGTTCCACCAGGGTTCCACCGAGGGTTCCACGAGGTTCTGCGAGGGCTGCGGGGTGCTGCGAGCACTAAAAAGAGCACCGCATGCTGGTGGGGATATCACCAGAGCTTATTTGTTGGGGGGGGGATGGTGTTTGAAGTGAAGCCTCTGTCCCACTTTGATTCTTCGTGTTGTTGTACTATTGTCTTGTTTTTTGTGCCTATTGATTTACTGGTTGGGGGGGGGAAGGTGAAAGGGCTGCCCAGTTTTGCTTGCGAGAGACCGGCGCGCCAAGCGGCTCGCTCCCGGACGAGCCGGGCAGGACCGGCACCGGAAGCTCCAGGACCTCCAAGAGCGACTGGAGGAGGAGACCACCAGGCGCCCCCAAATTTCTCGCGACCGTGGTGGTTTTGGAGTGGTAGTTTTGGAACTTTTTTTTTTTGTGTGTGGGGGAAGCCCAACTTTGGTGGTTTGGTGGTTTTGGATTGGTGGTTTGGTGGGTTTTTTGGAGTGGGAAACCTTACTTACCCTCTACAAGAACCAGGGACCCGTTCAATTCCCAAACCACGAATGAAGGGGCAGCTGATTGTTGGCACCAGGCGACGAATTATTTGGTTGTGTGTCTTCTGAAGGTTGGACCCCCCCCAAAACGGATTTCGGGTTTTCCTGTTGGTTTCCCTTTCAAACTCGCACAAAAGGGGGGTGCCCTCAAAAAGACGGCCCCATGTGCGCAAAAGGTTGGATAGACGGTACTATGTGTTTTTCTCAACTTTGGGGGGTTCTTTCCTGGTTTGACTGGGGTCGTTATGTTCGCTGATTCGGGGAGGGGGGGGGGCTTCCATTTGCGAAAGAATCAATATTTGTTGTTTTCCCATGTTGGTTGTAAGCATTTTTTCAAGGCTTTGCCAATTGGCCAAGTAATTTACGGCCAGCACTGGTTTCCCCCTGCGAAAGATAGGTTTAAAGGTACGGCCAGCCCCCATGGGTTGCCTGCGCCGCACACTTTAACCCTGAACCCCAAACTTAAACCCTAAACCTAAACCAGAACACGAAACCAACACCCGAAACCTAAACCCTGAACCTAGACCCTAACCTCGGCCCGAAACCGAGACTAAAGCCCTAAACCTACTGTATTCCAAACCCTAAACTCCAAACCTTAAACCTGGGCCCTGAACCAAAACCCAAGCCCTAAGCCCACCGCAATTAGAACAGACGGGGAGGAACGCCACTTCTTGCGCGCGGTTCTTGATGGCATCCACTTCAAGCTCAAGTCGCCCTTGAACTCAGCGGCATGGCTCACTTTGATCATCCGAGTTTTCCTGGTGCACCAGTTGAAAAGTTGGAATGACCCCGAGGAAAACCGTCCAACTGGTGGCTTCCTTCCAGGGGACCAATTCGAATCGAGCGCGAAGGCTGCGTGGGCGGCTGGCCAAAGCGACCAGCCAGGCCAATTCGAATCGACGGGCGGTGAAGCGGCTCTCGCCGAAGCGGAATTGGTGTCCGCTTTTTTGAGGGTACCTGCTGTTTTAAAATGGAAACCAAAAGGGCAACTGAAATGTATTTTGGTGGTTCCCCTAAAGCAAGCCACGCCTAATTTCCCTTGTGAGGAAGATGGAGGTCTCCCGAATGGACTGGGATGCGCCAACCAACACCCGTTTACAGCCGAGGCAACAGTCATGAGTGGCGTGGAATTGTGTCAGTAGGGGGCCACCCAAAATTGTGGCTTTCCTTTTTGGTTTTAAAGGAAACAACCTAACCTAACACACCAATTTACGCTCCCTTTTTCCATTTGTGCAACAATAGATCAGTGGAATTGGCTCCCAACCCTTCTCCCCCTTCGGGTGGAAGGTTACGGGGTCCCTTTTGCCCGCAAAAAACCTCTCCGAGGGGGAAGGGTAGGGTAAGAGACATTTTGGGAATGGAAAGGCCCCAGAATCAAAGGCTGGGCAGTTGTTTTGGCAATCCTCGCCGAACTCGCCTTTTTCAGTTACAAGCTGTACTGGACATATGTCCTTTTCCTCAGTTCCTGTGAAACTCTTGGAGCTTCAATTGCGAGGGACTCTTTGAGCGTGACTGAGCCTTGAGTTGGCGGCACAGGTTTGACCCTTTCATGGCATCCGCATGTCAAAGTGCATCAAATACTCGAGTCGCAGTTCAAAATGAGGTCCTACAGGAACCATGCCTTGGTTCTTTGTGGCCGGGCTGATGCTTACAGAACAGCTTCCAGCATTGTACACAATATGTGTCAAGGTGGCTGGCTTGGCTCTCCAGCGGAGAACATCTAGATCTAACTGATCTAACAACAAGTGTGTTTTTTGCAATCATTAATGCACACATGCCACGATCGCACAATCCAGCACGCCGAGCATGATACGTTTGTGTAGATGTAAGCATCTATATCATATGGTAGATCACAAACATATGGGCCAATCATATGGGTGTCTCGTTTTTTGAGGCTACCTTGGTTGGTTTGAATGGGAAGCCAACCGGAACACCGTTTTGCCCTTTCGGGGTCCCGGTCCGAATCCCAAGAAACGACCAAGGCCATATGTGTAGGGCGCTGTCAGGAGGAGGGCCTACGGGAGAAGCTGCAGCGCTCGGAGGCTTCCCTGAGGGGTCCGGAAGATTCACACCCTGACGGGTTTAAAAGAGAAAGAGGAAAATAAGCCACCGTTTTGGGTCCCAAAATGTTGAAAGAAGATCAGGATGGGGTGTGGTTGGGGTTCTGCGGAAGGCAACAGGAATTTTCTCTGTTGGGTGGTTTAAGGGGGCAAGAGGAAGAATAAGCCACCGTTTTGGGGTGCCCGAATGTTGAGGGGAAGCCATCCCAGCCATTTGGGGGTTTCCCCTATTTTTGGACGCATCCACATGCCAAGAACTTTCAGCTGTGTTTTGGGGCTAAACGGGCATCAGTTTTGGCACGTCCAAATCGACGCACTAGGCCAGACACATCCATTTTGACAAGATGTACCTTGTTTCAGGCTCGACTATCACACCTTCGAACATGTCACTCCCAAGGATTTGGACATGAAGCAAGATGCAAGTGCGCGCTCACATGTCTTGTTCTTGTCCATGCTCGTTGATGCTTGCTCTGTGTGGGTTCTTGGTTCTTGATCAGATCAGGACTCTGAAGCATTGGCCCCTGCGCGGTTTGGCCTTTCCGGCTAACAGAGGCGAACTGCAGATCCGGTGTCCGCCGGGTGCCGCTGTTTTGGTTGAAAAAACAGGTGTCCTTTAGGCTTGTTTCGCTTGAAGCTAGACGCATGCCGCTGGTGAAGATGTGTGTGGCTCTGGTGATTTGCGGGTGGAATCCATCGAGTTTCCCAAAAGGACACCTGGGGGACCATGGGTTTGTTATCTGTCTTGGACACCCCGAACTGGATGCCTGCAGACTGCTTGACAAGATAAGTTCCACTTCCCCAAACTGCAGGGCGAGTGAGAATGCGGCGCCTTAGTTTCCCGGTAGTGGTTTTTGGGTGGAAGCCATCGGGCTGAAGTTCCACCCCAAGCTGGTGGACATCAACCAGGTTGTCTCTCATGTCCAGCAAAGGGTCAGCCATGGATATCCCGATTCGAATCGGTGACTTTGGGAGCCTCGGGCAACGGCACAAAAGTCAGGCAGAGTTGAGTGCGGGGCGGCTGGAGGAGATCAAGGAAGAGGTGGGCAAGGGGTGAGGATGTGGTGGATACACGGGTGGTACATTCCAGTTCAAGTTTTTTTTCTTTTTTTCTGGGGTTGGGGAGCTTCAACTAGTTGAATATTTGTTTTTGGGGTTGGGGAATCAAAATAGCTTCCTCCTGCCCGACAAAGGCGGAAGTGTACCTTTTGCAGAGGAATCTCCGGCGCAAACCCTTGGAACTTGGAGCGGGCTTCCAATGAAGCAGGAGAGAAAGATGGCTACAACATCCGCGCGCACGAATTGGGATTGGTGGTTTTTCAACCAGTATTCATTGGGTTTTATCCATCCTAACTGGTGCGGAAGTTGTCCAACCGTATGGCCTAGGAGCCTATATAGGTTATATGGAACACCCCCCCCAGCACAGGTTTATTGGGGGCGTTCCCAGTTGAAGCCCGAAGTAAGGCAGCCTGTTCCATCAGTGAGTGTTTGGTACCCACCGAGGCAGGGTTTGTGCACCAAGCTTCACATCAGCAGCGCCCAAGCTCCATTGCGTTTTGGCTGAGGCGCCCGACCACTGCAAGAGGTTTGCCTCACTTCTCCCCCGAGGGAAGCCCTGGAACCCGAAAGCAAGAAACAAGCGACGTCCACTCCCGGGGTCTTTTTGGACTTCGGCCCAATGGGATGCCTTTTGGCTTCCCTGTAAACCACAGAAGAAAAACAACTCAAAGAAAGGCGAGTCACCCATTTCCCTTTATCGGCGGCTTAACCATCTTCTGGAAAAGCTCAGTTGAGTGTTCTTCTTGGCCCAGTGACTCAAGCCATCATTTCGGGGCATGCACGCGTGTTTGCATTCTTGGGCTTTCCCAGGGTCAGGCTTGGAGACCAAAGGAGGTCGTTCGAATGATGGTGTGCTTTGTTTTGCTTTGATGGTGTTGGGTGGTTTTGTATTGTTTTATGTTGTTTTGTTTTGGTTTTGTCTTGCTTCAAGCTCGTCCCAACAAGTCTCGCCTTCCACACTCTCCCTCGTTGACCTGATCTCGATGCGGGGGGCCTGGGGCCGTGGTCTGGCCAAGCTGACCGGAGACTCTTTGGGAGCACCTTCTTGCATCCGGTTGCTACACCGTCGCCGAACCTCGCAATACAAACAGGGCAAACCCAACCGGCAAGAAGGGCGAGAATGACCCAGAGGAAGATGCTGGGCTACTGAGGAGATTGAACTGGATGTAGCGACGACGAAGTCAAACCTGAGTGGGGCGCGCGAGTCACTCATCAAAGGTCGGAAACATGATCCCCAACGCCGTTGGTTCAAGACAAGAGGCGCTGAAACAGAAGCGCGGCTTTTGCAGTTTAACCCCGGAAGCTCAAATTAGGGAACCTCCCAAACCAGTGGTTTCGTTTTGATTGATATTCCTTGAAACCGAGAGTAAATGGGATATCTCAAAGGACAACCAACTGCGTGGCGTAGTTGAAGGTTGGTTCAACTTGTAATATTTGGTTGGAATCCACCGCGCGATTGAGTTCGAATCGGGCTCCATTTTTTTTGTTTTTTTTTGGGGGGGTGGCTGGGCATGCTCTTTGATGGTCGCAGACCTCATATTTAACGAGGTTTGCGCGAAATACCGAAGGCGAGACAAAACCAATTAAAACAAACGCCTCAGAAGACGGACGACTCCAAAATAGAAACCGGGCAGGCCCCGCCAGTCAGGCGTTGAAAGGCCGACTCGGGCGCTTCGTGAGGCGCGCGGGCCATGCCTGCGGCGCCAGCTGGAATGCCTCGACGCGAGGCATCAGGAGTTGGAGGACGTCTGCGATGCCCAACTTTCGCTGTGAGAGTTGAGCCAGGGAGCTGGTATCCAAGATTGCAGAGGGAACCTTTTGGAGCTAAGAGTTCTGCAAGGACGTGGTATTTTGGAGTTTGTTTTGTTTTTTGGGGTCGGCTTTAAGAAGAGAAGCTTTGTTGGTAAACCACAATAAACCTATAGGATCGTTTGGTGCCATTTGTCTACCTATCTATGCGAGGTGTTCCACCGATTCGGGATTCGGTCAAAACGAGCTGTGAATGTTCAAGGGAACCCTTTCTTCTGGATTTTGTTAAACATGTAAATGCAGATGGGTAGCAAAGCAGGGGACCACCCAAAAGGGAGCTTCAAATTCTTGTCGGAGTCGGCTCCTCCTTTGGTGTGGCATTTCAATAGAAAGCCAGAGGGATTACTACCATTTTGGAGGGTCAGCGTATTTTTAAACAACTCTCCTTGGATGACCACCAACCGCTTGGCAAGCGAAAAGCGCAAAGTTTTATGTAGGGCACATCTTGGGCTGGTGTCACATCCATTCCACAACAGGGCTCAAGGCCTATTTCCACCCTCTCACCGGCAAAAAGTGAACCTTTCTTTCAGTCCAAAGTCAGCTATTCTGGGTGTAGGTTTCGCCCTGACTGAGATGTACCTTGCTTGTATGACCATCAATCAGTTTGTGAACGCTGCTTAAGAAGTCCTCCGAATGGATGTACCCTACGATTCGCCACTTCCCCGGTGGGAAGAATATTAACAGCCTGTTGAAGGGCCATCGAGTTTCCTTTCATCGCAACATCCAAAGGGAACACGTTTTTGTTTCTCCTTTTTTTTTCTTCTTCTTTCTTAGCGAGTGACAACACAAACAACCCGAACTGGAAACCATGCGAGTCGCGCCCGTCGTTCTACTGTCGTAGGCAGAAACAAGGTAGTCTATGGGTTTCAAGAGTCCCCACAGAGCGCGGACGGGTCCCATGTGCTTGCGGCTCCTCCGCCCTTGGCTCGAAAAGCGCAAAGCGCCACATGCCACGCGTCACGCGCCACGCGCCACACGCCGGCCGCCGCCCCGTGCGAGGCCGGGAACACCCGGATTTGTTTAGCGCATGGAGGGTAGGGAGGCATGGGTTTTGAATTTGTGACGGGCCTAAACGTTGGAATTTCTGTTTGTTGGAAAGATGGGGTAGTTGGAAAGAACACCCGCCGAACTGTTGAACTCGCCATGATGGAAGGGAGTTTACTCATTGGTTTGGCAGTCGAACAGTGGCCTGGGTCACCAAGATTCTGCTCAAGTGATGTTGACCCCAGATTAATCAACCTGTCCTATTTATTGTAAACGCTTCGCGTTGCCTGCCTCGGCCAGTCCGCTTTTGGCTGGCTTTGATGCATATAGTTGTGTTTGTTAGAGTGAGTGAGTTGGCGCCGAAACGCAGTCTCCAAGGTAGAGGGTGGGTGCATGTTCGCGCGTTTTCACATGGCTTTGTGCAAATTTTCTAGGGAATTTGACTGGCTTCTAGGAGGAATTTTGGCGGCTCTTAGTTTCTGGAAATTGGGGGGAATTTGACCGGGTTGCGGGGAATTTGACCGGTTTCTGGTTTAGAGGGGATTTGATCGGTTTCTAGAGTGGGATCTGACCGGTTTCTACGGTTGTTGCCTGGATTTGATCGGTTTGTCGCAGGGGGTTTGACCTGTTTCGGGGGGATGCCGGGAAATTGACTCGTTTCCCGACACAGCTGGGCGGGGGGGGCAGCGAGGGGTTTGGAAGTTCCCGATCCTGGGGGCCGACCGCTGCCAGGCTCGCTTCAGTCGGGCTGGAGGCAGCTGGAGCAGGGATTTTGGCCGCGCAACATCCAGTGTGTTTTCAATTCGGCCCATCATGCTTGCACCTTGGGCTCTGGCAGTCTGAAGCCTGCTTGCAAGTGGCTGTTTGTTGAGGGTACGCTTGCCAAGGCATCGCGCACGGGGCTCAATTGACAACATTCCCAAAAGCATCTTTGAACGGTTCCCTCAGTCATTGTGCTGCGCATGTGCCTCAAAGATTCATCAACAGTCCGAACATCCACAGAAAGAAGGGTGTTTTGCCGGCTTTTTGTGAAACGCAAGCATCAACTCCAGCATCGCGCAAAGAACTTTTCCGCCAAGGAAAGCTTAACACTCACAACTTCTAGCGCCTGCTCCGTTTGTCCGATTTCAGCCTTGTGCATATGTGTCTACACATATATATATATATATATATGTGTATATATACACACGCATGCAGCATACCTGCATGCATACATCTACGTATGTATTGGCACCGATGCACGGGATTCATGTATGCACATGCCTTCAGAAGGGAGAACATCTAGTTTTGGGATCGGAGGGCCCCGAGTCCTTTCCAGGGTGCTTGCTGCAGCGCGGCACCCAGATACCGTCCAGCGGGGGAGCTTGGGGGGAATTGGGATTCACATGTGAGCTTCCTCAGCGTGAAGATCAGAAGGATTGGAAGCCTCTTGCAGCAAGGTTTGATTGCGCCTGTTTCCGAGCGGTGGGTTTGCATCTCTGGGCACATTTCTGCAGGTCGTGGTGGGGGATTTCTTGCCTCTGGTGCTTTCAATGTCCAGAAGATCAACATGTTTTTTTCCAATGGTGCTCAATCATGATGCACTTACGCAAGACCAGTCAGCTCGGCCAGGGAGGTGTGTTTGGCTCAACTTCAGTGTAAGCTTCCTTGCTTGACATCTTCGCACCAGTGGCTCGAGCTCGGCTCGCTCGCCCTTGAGCCTGCGGCACCTGTCCCGCAAGGAAGGTGCCGCGTTTTTAGTCTCACCAAAGGAAGGGCGCTCCGAGAGAGCGCCGGGGCTTGTTGGATTTTTGTTTGGGGCATGAAGTTGACTCGAAGGAGTTGCGTTGCTTGGCCCAGGAGCAGGTGTGCTTCAGGATGCAAAAAGCGGTTTGGTACATGCAAAGGGAGTGTGGCTAGACTCACGTAAGCACGAACTCACCTGAAACCCACATCTTGGAGAGGCCGGCTCAACCCGCGATTTCGTGCGCCCGCGCTCCAGCAGCTGCGCGTCGGTTGCTTCAATGATGCCATGGAGGAGCGTCAGCTCTACGCGGCTGCCAAGGCTGGGCATTCGGCTGTCAGGTTGCATTGGCATTGGTCAGGCGCCCCCCCTTTGTCTTGGTGGTTCCCAACCGTCCTTTCATGGTTGTTGTTGGGAAACATTTTACAACATTTTTGCTTATTGTGGTCTAGTGGGAAATCCCCACTTAACTGCTAAAGTTAACATTGTTGCTCCCCTTCCAACGTCAACCAAGCTTTTTTGGTTTTCAGGGTTTAGTGGGGGTTTTCATTCAGCAGTTAAACTTGTAGCAGGGGACCTGAGAACAGCCCAGTTGTGGTTTTCCTGTTGGAAAATCATGATTTGGCGCATGGGCTTCATAGTGGTTCCTCTCTGTAACCCTATTCTAACCTCCAGTGTTGTAGGGTTTTACCATACATTTCTTGTGGTTTTGGCTTATCACCCATCATCCCCTTTTTCCCATAAATCCTATGTTCGTTGGGTCATCCCGTGTTTTTTCCCCGTCTTTCGAGGGACGGATTTGCAACGTGCAGGGCGCCCAATGGCGCCGGGCGTTGCATTTGCTGCGCCGCGCAGGCCGCGATTTTTTTTCTTCCCCAGGGGAGTCCGTGGAAGCTCAACAGGACCCAAAAAGGAAGACGTTGTTTGTCCATTGAGTGAGGCCAGCTTCCATGTCGCCTGAGGGAGTGTTTAGATTTCGAGGTTTCCTTCCAACTTGTTTGGGCAATCTGACAAAAGGTGACTAGGTCGCGTGCTCACAGCTGGGTCCTCACAGGTGGTGCATGTAGCTCGTCGGTTTTTGAGGCTACCCGAGAAAAAATGGGGGCTGTTTTGCAGAAAGCAGACCATCCACTTTGGGGTCTCTCTACTGTGGATACGAAATCCTGCACCAATTTGAAGCCATGGTTGAAACCCTTGTTTCTTGGTATTTACATGAGAATCATCATTCCAGGGTTTCTAGGTCATCCGTCCACAGTATTTTGAGATAGACCCATTCGACTTGTTTTGGGGTTTTGTAATTTAAGGGCTGCCGCCCAGTGCCGCCGACCCCTCCACTGGGGGAAAAGAGCGACCGAGGAAAGGAGGCTGAAAAGAAGGCAGAGCGCTCGCAGCGAACGTACACTTGCCCGCACTGCAGCGCCGACGTGGAGTCAGGCGTCTGGAGCGGCACGGTTGACTCGCGACGGCATTGCGGGCGCCGCTTCCAAGTTCGCGAGGGACAGGTTGTGCGCCGAGAAGATGGCGCGAGGTACGAGCATGCGTGTCCGACCTGCGGAGCGACAGTGCAGTCGAGCACGAGGCAAGGCCGGATCCGGGTCCAGCACGAAGAGCCAAACAGCAAACGCTTTTGCCAGACCAAGGACTGGCGCACGAAATGACGTGTGCGGAAATCTGGCAGCGCAAAAATCTTGCGCATCGGTCCTGCATGCCTGCTCGCAAGAACAGCTTCGCGTACAGCGCGCTAAGAGGCCGCGCTCGTTTTGCCACAGCGAGCACCAGGCAAAGGAGTGCGCCGGCAGCAGAAAGGAAACGGAAAGAAAGATGGGAAGGGATCGTACATGCAGTAAAGCTATGTGTCCAGAGAGAGCGGCCAAAAGCTTCGCTTCCCGCGCTGTTCCAGGCCGCACTCGTTTGTCCACAGCGAGCACCAACCAAAGGAGTGCGCCGGCAGCAGAAAGGAAGAAAAGAGGCCGAACAGGCGGGCCCGCACTCGTTTGCCCACAGCGAGCACCAACCAAAGGAGTGCGCCAGCAGCAGAAAGGAAGAAAAAAGGCCGGACGGGCGGGCCGTGACAGAGCTTCAGCGCTGAAAACTGTGCCCTGCAGCGAACGGGCGGGCTGTGACAGAGCTTCAGCGCGGAAAGCTGTGCCCAGCAGGTAGATGAGCACTCTCGGCCTCCTCAGCTCACGGGCGGTTGGTGTAGTGGCATCACACCCGCTCAGCATGCGAGAGGGGCCGGGTTCAATCCCCGGCCTGTCCATGCCCATGTGCGCCTGCGTCTGTCACCGTTTGCGTATCCCTGGTCTTTCTCCCTTTGAGTTTGCTGTGCGTCTTGCCAACGGCGGCTGCTCCGCCGCGGCCGGGTGCCGAACGTCACTTTTGAATCCTATATAGAAAGTAGAAAGTAGAATAGAAAGCTATCGGTCCCCAGGGCGCAACCAGCAAGAACAGCTTCGCGTCCAGCGCGCTTGGAGGCCGCGCTCGCTTCAACGAGCACGAACCAAAGGAGTGCGCCGGCAGCCTGCTCCGCCGCGGCCGGGTGCCTAACGTCGCGTTTGAATCCAATATGCAGTAAGGCTATCGGTCCAGAGGGAGCGGCCAGCCACAAAAGCTTCGCTTCCCGCGCTTTTCCAGGCCGCACTCGTTTGTCCACAGCGAGCACCAACCAAAGGAGTGCGCCGGCAGCCGAAAGGAAAAGGAAAGAAAAGAAACGAAGAAGAACAAGAAAAAAGGGAAAGAAAGAAGGCTGGTAAGGTACAGGGCTGAACGGGCGAGGGCGAAAGGGAAGGGAGAAGGCTGCCACAGTCACGCTCCAACGCTAAACGAACACTCCCCCAGCGCCTTCCCCTTGCAGGCAGGGGGGTCGGCGGATTTCCGATCCAGCTCAACTCGCTCACATTGACCTTAACCTTTTGGTTTCATCCCAGGCGAATCTTCCCCTCGCAAGGTGGAAGTGCAGAGGTGCCGCTTGAGGGAAGTTGTCCTTTTGCAACGGGCACTTCCATGTTTGTTGTTGTGAGGCTGGCAAGTAGTTGTTTAGCTTGATGTCTCGTGGGGGTGGGGGGGTAATAGTTCGAGCGAAGCCATAAACTGAAATGCTGGATTACAGGTAACAGGGTAGGGTTGCTAGACCAAAGGGCAGGGGGTTGGGGCAGTCAATCCGCTGGTCAATCGCCATGAAAACGTGCTTCAAAAAGACACAGAGCAGCGACACCAGTCATAAAACTGCCACCGAGGACAAAAACTGGCCCCATTACTTCACCATTATGCAAGTCAGCCCCTAAGTCGTAGGTGAAAGGGGAAGAGCAAAACAACTGCGGACTTTGATAACACACACAAAAACCATCAACATCATGGGGTTATATATATATATATATAACAAATATACCGATGAAAAAAGGTGATAGAACTAAAAAATCGTTTAAAACGAAAAACACACACAAAAAAAACAACAACAACAACAAACAAGTTGCTGAGTTGGGATGCCGGTGGTCCCCAAAGGGCGCGAGCTCGGCCTGGCCGGTAGCTCAGCCCCCAGGCTCCGAGCCGGACGTGGCCCGCTGCGGCGCGGTGTGCGCCGCCTGCGCGCGGCAAAGCCGCTGGCAGAACTCCGAGGCGCCCTTGGGTTCTGCTGGGGTTTCTTGGCGTTTTTTTGGTTTTGGTCGCCCATTTCTTAAATATGATAACCCCATGATGTTGAGGGTTTTTTTCTTTTTTTTGTGTTAGCAAAGTCAGCGGTTGGTTTTTCTTCCCCTTTCACCTACCACTTAGGGGCTGACTTTCAGAATGGAGAAATAATGGGGTCAGTTTTCGGCCATGGAGGTGGACCTTAAACTTGCGATCGGTGCGATAGGTAGGGAATGACCCAGATTGTTGGGAATGAACCGGAAGGGGATTCCCTGAAAGGAAGCCACAGGGGTTGTTGTAGAGGGGTCATTCCCTGTGCACCAGCAAGTGTAGAATATGTCTTATTCTCCGCTGTGCCGGCCCTTCCCGCATATTTTTATTTGCTCCAGGGGATTGGGGCGCCCGCTTTACTGGGTCGACCAGCAATTTCGTGAGCTTTTGATGACGCCTGATTTCTTGAACCCTGGAAACAAATCATTCCAGGGATTCTACACGGTGAGAAATGGTTTTCGTCTGCAGTCTGAAGGAAGGTTTTTGAGGAGGCCCGGGTGCCCGTTTGACCTTCAGCTCGACCAGGGGAAACTATCGTGGTTACCTCTGTAGTGACAACTGGAAGCGCTGGGACAGTTGAAACTCCGAAGAGGAATTTTCAGAAGCCGACCGGACATTCTGCAGGAAATCCGAATGGTTTTGGTGGGCGTTTGGAAATCCATTTTTTCTGGAGAATCTCCCAGTCTTTGATTCAAACTGGCAGTTGGCGTTCAAAACGGCTTCAGTTTGTCCCCTCTCCAAGTTGGGCACCCTTTTGACTAGACACCTGGCTGTGGCTCAAACAATGGAACACTCCAAAATGGAACCTTGGTAAATGGAAATAAGGACTAAACCTCCGTAACCCCAGCTGTGCAATTTTGAGCCGTACCCACCTCGGTGCTAACGCAGGCTTGTGAGTTCCTTGGATGATCAATTAGGCAACTACTTCCAAGAGCAGACTGCATGGAAAAAGGCTGCATGTTCACGAGGAATCAATTGAGCCACAAGGGAAACCTGGTTAGATGAAGGTTGGTAAGGGGCAGTCCCAGCCAGAAATAGGTGGGAATACCCGCTTTTGAGTTTCCAACAACATGGATTGGGTAGACATTGATTTTGATTGTGACTCAATCGAGCCTCTGAACTCAACAAACTGAAGCCTTTGTGGGCAACCGCTCGTTTGGCTTGGAGCTAGAAGCGCGCACGCCAGCCCCTCACAATTCCGCACACCATCCTATAACCGCTGAAAGGCATGCAGATACCGTATCAATTGCACTTAGACCAAAAACGACACATAACCAATATATATATATATATAACATAGTATAATACAATACAATAACATATAATATAACATAACATGATATAGTACAATACAGTGTAATATAATACAATATAACATGATATAATATGATATGATATGACATAATATATTACAATATGATATACTATAATATATATGTATATATACACATGACATGATAAATATATAATATATACGCACATATACATGTATTTGGGTACAAACCTCTTTGCTCCAAATTCTTGGGGTTCCCTCCGGTGCTTTCCCTTTAGTTCCCCAAACATACCCCGATAGGCCTTGCTGAGCGTCTCCGCCAACCTCGTGGTCTCCAACTCGGCGCGGACTCGAAAGGAAAAGCCATCCAAGCCGTTTTCGGTGAAAGGGTCACTTGACTCATCTTGACTCAAACCCAATTCCAAACCCCAACCATCTCCGGATTGCAAAGCTTTGGGGTTCGTTTTGCTGTTGTTTTGGTCGTTTTTGGTGAAAGGGTCACTTGATTCAACTTAGTGGTGCGATAAGTAGGGAATGAGAGAATGAACCCAGGGGTCTGCTTGAAGGAAAGCACCAGTTGGATGGTTTATGTGGGTGATTCCCTCATTAATACTGAGCACCAGCAAGTTTGGGTGAAAGGGTCACTGGATTCAATATCCAAACCCCAGCCATCTTTGGATTGCAAAGCTTACTTGGGGTTTTGCTGCTGGTTTAGCCTTCTTGGGGCCCGCTTCCAATTTTTGGAACAGTAGCTTGAAAGTCATTCGGTGGGTGCTATCCCAAGAACTGATTCTGCAGTTTGCCCTGTAGCCCGTGGCTGACTCTTTTCTTGGGAGACCAAATCGGACACCACTGCCTCGTTCTCTTCCCCGAGGTCTCACAAAATTCATGGTCGAAATCCAAGTGGCAAAGGTCTCAGGGATTTGAGGCCATAGCTGTTCCCAATAGGAAGTTGAGACAACCATAAGTGGCCTGCATGACCAACGTCAGATTTCAACCCCCCTTTGACGAGTACCCCCTTGACTGGCAAAGTCCTGTGCAGGATACGGAACTGAGCCAGTTGGTTTTAGGTTTACTGTGGCCCGAATTAGAGTTTCGACCGCCCCGCATTGGGGGGTTTGCACAACAAGAAGCTTCCTTTTGCGGTTCGTTCCAAAGGGAAACCAAGCTTAGAAGCTGTATACCAAGAGGAACTTTGGTTTAGGGAGAGGCCAGGTTTGAAGGGATGGCCGGACTTTGGCTTACAGGAAATTCCACGCAGACCGCTTGCAGGGAAGGAGCACGCGGACCCATGCCCTCTTTCCAGCAATCATGGAAGTGCATGGGAGGGCCCCCAAAGGAAAGCAGCCTTCCAAGAATGTCAAATCCCTCCTCTCAGCTCGATTGTTGGAGGGTCAGAGTTCTTCCCTTCTTGGCTTTCCCTCAAGCCCCGACTGTCCAGGCACCTCCCCCCTCTGAGGGCTTGGTCGCTCCCCGCTTCGCCGCTTCTCCGCAGGCGGTGACGGCGCTGCAGCGGGCGGCGCTGTGGCGCTTGGCGCTGCGGCGCCTGGCGGCGGCGGAGCAGCGGAACTTCGGGGCGGACGTGGTGGGGCTCAGCGCCTCGTGCCGTGAATGGCGCTTGGGCGTCCGTTTGAGGCGATTTTGGGTCGAAATTGATGGGTTCCACAGGTTTAGGTTTGATTCCATTGACCAGTGGACATCAGCAACATGGACCCTTTTGGGAACTGAAGCCCTGTGCCGCGTCTTGAAGATACTAAAAAGGGCCCCTTTTGACAAACCTTCACATGTTTGTTTTGGGTATTTGTCTTCCAGAGAGTCTGCGCACTAGCCTCCAAGTGACCCTGGCACAGGGGCGAGGGTTCTTTGGCCAACTCTCAAGAACACAGCGCTTGCGCACATACGAACCGTATCGCGCAGCAAGGGGCGGGCTCGGTGTGCTTTGGGTTGTGGTGTAAGCATCAGCAAAAAGAAACCGCATAGCCATTCTTGGGTTCAAAGCCTGTGGTGGAGCACCCCCACACTTGTGCATGTGTGTGTGTGTGTGTGTCTCTCTGTGCGTGTGGGTGTCTGTGTGTGCGCGCGCGTGTCTGTGTTTTTTCGACCTCACAGCTTTGCCTTCTGTCAACAATGTCATCTGTGTGTTTCTCTTCATAGCCCCAGGTGGCCACGGTTTCCCGTTTTCCCCAGACGGGCCCCGACGAGGCGCGGCGCTGCGGGCGTGCCGCTGGCGCTGGGCGCTGCACCTGGCGCACCATCTGCGGCGAGCGCGGCTGCACAACGCCTTCAGCGCCTCGGTGTGATGCGATGGGTTTCTCGGCGGGTCTCACAGAAGAAAAACACTGAGCAACTTCCATTTCACATGAATACACCTGAGCAACTTCCATTTGCCGACTTCTTTTTTACATTTTTTTGATGGGTTTGTTGGCGGGTCTCAACCAAGAAAAGCTCGACGCACTTCCTATTTGAAAGGGATGCACCTGAAAAGACGTCCAGTTGAAATGAAGTGAATATGTGTATGTTTGATGTTTGTCCCTGGTTGGTTTGAAAGGGAATCGCTTTCACTACCCACATAGAAATGGTTACGTGCTTGTGGTGTTTCTTGATAAACACCGCAAACAAGGGTTCCAGAATGGTTGTCCTTGTGGTTCCCCTTGAATAACGCCGCAAAACAGGGGTTCAACAATGGTTTTCCTTGTGGATCCCCTTGAACAAAAACGCCGCAAAACAGGGGTTCAAGAATGGTTGTCCTTTTGGTTCCCCTTGAAAACCGCCGTACAAAAGGGATGTTGCGCATTTTGAGACTCTGTTTTGGGTGGCAACCCAGGGTTAATTTACGAGAATTGCAGGCTCAAGACCCACCCCCCCCAAAACCACGAGGCAGGCGGGCAGAAGATACTAAAGATCAACGTGACCTGCGAACCACAACCGCATCCTGACCAGCGACTGCTGCCCTAAATATGGCAAACTCACTGATCCAACGGAGTTGATCGCCCAGGTCACATGAGGCCCTTCGCTAGTGCATCCTTTGTAGGCTGGCGCATTGCTATCATTTACTCGGACATTTTGCTGGGTTCAACTGAAATTAGCCCCCCCCGTTTGGTTGAATATTTTTCGATGCTGTTTCTTTCAAGATGGACACCACCAAGCCGACGCCGACACATGAGTGCAGAACAACTTCGCCTACTTTGCCCTAGACACATGCAGCTGAGATGCCGAATTTGAGCACCCTGTTCGCACTGGGTAACTCAGGCGGATTTGGCATAAGCAATCCCAGTCCCCTCCCCTCCCCTCCCTCCTTCCCAGTTGGAAAGATTCCAGGTCACAGACAGGGAAAAAAACTGACCCTTGGGGATAGTTTAGGCTCATATCCCAAGAGTAGAGGTGGGACCCATGGGCCTGGTTCCTTTTGGAGTTGGTGCCCTGTCTGGGCCGGTAAATAAGGGAAAGACCACAACCCATGAGGGCTGCGAATCCTGTTTTGACGAGCCATCTCCCATCCGGCGTGGAACCTGACTGAGGGGTTCTGGGCGACGAATTATTTTCCTTTAGGAATCATTTCTCTGGTGGGTCTGTGGCAACGTGAATTCGAGGGCTTGTCTTCTTTTTTTTGAGCCTTTGCTTGCTGGTTTTGAAGGGATTACAAGAAGGACACCCACCATTTCTAGGGGTTTGAATCCAAAAGCGGCACACCTCCGGTTTGAAACGGCTCAGGTCACAACAGCGCGCTCATCGCCTGCGGCGAAGCCGCCGACACCGACGCCAGCGGCGAGAGGGGCCCTTGGCAGCTCTCCTCGCAGCTGCTGCTGGAGATGAGCCACGGTGCCCCGCGGAGGAAGATCGGAGTCTTTAAAAAAGGGAGCCCGACAAGCCTGAGCTGAAGGCCAAACAAAGAAGCCTGGAGCCTAAACAAAGGGCGGCTCGTCTCTTATATTTTTTGAGAGTAGTCCCTCTTTTTGGTGGTATGATTTAAAGAACAATCAACAAGACAACGCACCATGTTTGAGGGGATCGGAATCCTAGAGAAACAACCACAGCTATACAGGAATTGGGTCGAAAGTTAGGCTGGGTATTGGAAGAGTAATATGGGTTTTTAGGCCCAAAATGGAAAACGGTCTTCCCTTTGGTTTCCGTGCAAAACCATAAGCAAGCGGTACCCTCAACGATTGACACACCCATATAAAGGCCCAAGTAATTAGAATGGGGCTTGGGGTACTTTCAGATGGGCAAACAGTTGGTAATTATTTAGGCGCTATATTGGGTGGTTGGCAACCCTAGTTATAAAAATATGGCCCCCTGAACGGCCTGAAGAGACACACCAACCATGTATTTCTGATGTCGGATTGATTCAGCCTCTCCGTTCTGGCGCGGCACGTGCGTGTCATGCCGTTTCAGCTGCTTTTGTGGCAGTGCTTTTAGCTTCTGAACCCCTGGTCTTGTAGGTAAAGGGGAATCCCCCTAGCCACCAAGCCACCGGGCTCCAAACCACCCCTTTTTGGGAGAGCCGATTTTTTGGATCTGTTGCTCGAAGCCGAAAAGTGTCGTCTCTTGAGGACTGCCACGGGGTTTGCTATGGTTGCTGGCTGGATACCCCGCCAGATAGACACCTGCTTGTGTTGTTGTCAGGGAGCCCGCAAAGCAGTTCAACATGGACAGCATAAATGGCCCACGAGATCTATCTTTCACATTATCAGCTGGCAAGTGTGTTGCTTCACATCTTGAGACAGCACCGAGCGGTGGAATGTCTTGGCTTTGCTTTGCCTGGGCAAGACGCAAGAGGGTGGCTCCCCTCATGGACAGGATACATGAACATATGCGCGGCTGGATGGTTGACCAGCTTCAGTAGATTGATACCTGGATTTATACATGGGCCAACCAGGGGCGGGTGACATATGGGTGTGATATTTAATGAGGGACGCTTTGGTGGACATCATTTAGGTGAGGATCCATGTCCACCAATCACTCTTGAGGCGGTTCCCTATTAAAATTCATGGCCATATATGGTTATATCTACCGTAGGTTGAACATCCGAGTGGACCATGGGCCATGATGAGCTTGGATCCCCCTTTGCGAGTAGCTGGGGTTCCAACTGGGCCACGTTCATTGCGTAGCTTCCACGAAGTTTTCCCGTGCGGCTTCGGCCGCCGAAGCCGGAAGCCGGAAGCCGGAAGCCCGCGCGGAGATGCCGACGTTTGTATGGGAGGGGCCTTTTCCACCTCTGTGGAAAAGGACGAGGAACACCAAGGGCCGGGAGTGAAAAGCCGAAGAAAAGGGAGTCCCTCTGGGCTAAACCGTCCGTCGGGCACCCCGAGGCTCGGTGGCGCCGGATGTGGTGAGCTACACCTCGGAGGTGACCTGCAGCGGGAGCCGCTGGCCGCGGGTCTTGGACGCGCTGCAGCGGATGCAGGCGGGCGGAAAGCGGAAAGCGGACAGCGGACGGATGCGCCGAGTCGAAGATCCACTGGAGCCTCGAGGTATGGCCACATCAACCCTGGGGCCTTGAAGCAAGACAAAGGTTAAGAGAACCCCCTTCTGGGATGCAAATATGCAGGTGTTGTTTGCGAGGGACACTTGGATGAAATCGCTGGGACGCCTCGCCAGCTTTTAGGTGGGCCAGGTCGCGCCCAACGCGGCGACCTTGAACAGCGCCATCGAGGCCTGCGAGAGGAGCTGGAGCCGATTCGGAGCGAGCGACCGCGGGCTCGCGATGAGCCCATGCCGGGCTCCTCTCCTGGAGATCAGGGTTTGCCAACCTTTTCGTAGTTTGGCATGATCTGCGGGAGTCTTTTTCCGATCCGCACTTTTTGGATGGCAACAGGTCCACCGCTCGAACAATTGATTTTCCGAGAGCACCAGACACCGATGGAACATGAACTATCCAAAAGGGATACCCGTATTAGTCGGTGCTCAGTTGAACTTGGCAACTTTGTTAATAAGACTCAACCTTGGGTATCAACGTTGAGTTTTCGTGTATCAACCTCTAGATCGAGCTTGCGTCAATGAATCCCTGGCCCAGTACGGATTAATTTGCGATTGTCACGCCCAACCTAAACCCATAGTATTATGGTTTGTCTCTTTTTCAGCGTCTTCCGCCTCAGCTGAACCTTTGCATTTTGCAAGGATGGCAATCTGGCCTCGCTTTCTTCAGCAGCTCGCCCCACACAGCAAGGGTGCTTTTGTGTGGAAAACCTTAAACCCAGAGGCCCTGTATTTCAGGCAACGGAGTATTTTTCAAGCACCCTCCACATCTTCCCTTAGGATCTCTTTGGCCATTTTCAACCCCCTCCCTCCTATTCCGAAGCCTACACACGTATTATTCCAACTCTACGTTCAATCCAACCCACCAACTGTGGGATCCAATTCTTTTCAGGAAAGCCTCAAACACTCGCTTCGGGGAAGCAGGCCAACCCCTACTCGCTTCGGAATCCAAGCCGCTGGTTGTCGCATGGCGAGTCAGGAGCTGCCGCTGGGACCTGGCCCTGGCGCTGCTCAGCCGCTTCCGCACGCTGAAAAGCCCCGTGACGCCCGGGCCTTGGCGCGCGATGGGAGTGGCGGAGTGGTTGGGGCGCCGGATTTTTTCTTCTTGGATCAAAATCTAAAAAAGCAAAAGGATCGAATCGAAATGTGATACCAGTTCTTTTTCTGCATCATCTGCCGGGGGATTCCTTGCTCTGAGCAGGCGGTTCGCTTGCTCTTCGGGTGGCTCGGCTTTTTGTTCAGGCTCGATGCCCCATCCTTTTGGTAGGCTTGACCGGGAAACTAAAAGGAGAACCGTCTTGCCATTAAATTTGGGCCCAAGTCCAAACAGAAGACCCACCCCTTTGGTCCCCAGAGCTTTCGCCCTTCGACTTTCCCTCAACGTCTCCAGGTCATTCAGGGATTTCTGGAAAGGTCAAAAACCGAAGCCGAACAGGCGGGCGGCCAACAACATCCTTGCTGGGTAGCTTTTGAGTGGATCCTACTTGACTATGAGTTTTACGAGTTGGCCTGGCCTTCGAGATTGTTGGTGGATATTGATACATACTTATATATATACACTATATATATATATATACACACTATATATATATATACATACCCAGCCATACAAGAAGCAGGGGAACCCCCCCAAATCAGAAATGGCCTATATGCCTACCAATCGCAGGTTGCTTTCCGCGAGTCCATCAGGTACAGTGCTGCCATGATGGCCTGCCTACAAGGCTCGGTGCCAGTTTCGCGCGCAGCGACACCGGCCCATCGGCACGTTTTCTCAAAACAGGGGTCCAGTAAGATGGCCACAACATGGGAACGGCTTCCTTTTGATTTCCCTTCAAATTTCTCAACTTTTATGGGGATCCAACATTTTCAGCTTCCAAGTCGGAGGGGTGCAAACCACCCTTATGACTTTCCCATGCAAGGACCCTTCTTGCGCTTGTTGGCTACCTGGCAGGAAGAACAAACAACAAGCACGATGCACGGGGCACAGGGAAAACAGAAGCCGCGCGACCTGAACCGCTGAAACTGCCCAAACAACAGTTAAGTGAAAATCTCTGGTTTTGCAACTTGCGCGCAGAACCGCCGCCCACAAAAGCTCAACAAGAAGCACATCTTGCACGCGAGGGACCCGTCCGAAGCGCGCCTCGGCGCAGGAAGCCGCTGGCACCTCGCCTTGGAGCTGCTGGCAGAGATGGCGGGGGCCCCTTGGGCCCCGAGGTTTGGGGCCGGGCGCATTGAAACCTCGAGCTTCCTTGTGACTGATGGGGTATGGGGAATCCTCCTCCCAAAGTGGGACAGGGATACGATGTGTATATATATATATGTACATACACACCGGAATAATAATAATAATAATAATAATAATAATAATAATAATAATAATAATAATAAGTAATAATAATAATAATAATAATAATAATAATAATAATAATAATAATAATAATAATAATAATAATAATAATAATAATAATAATAATAATAATAATAATAATAATAATAATAATAATAATAATCATAATCATAATAATAATAATAAATATATATATATATATAGATAGGTACATGTTACCTTTGAAATCCACCTCCCACCTCCCACCTCCCACCTCCCCCTCCCCGCGGCCTCTCGCAGGGCGCGTCTCTGCGTGCGGACTTGGTGGCCTTCGGCTCCGCGCTGGCGGCTCTGGAGCTGGGCCGAGCCTGGCGGCTCCTCGAAAGAAGCCGAGAAATCCCCCCGGCCGCCGCGCGCGAGGAACCGGGCGTTTCGGTTCCTCACGGGTGGCTCTCGTGTTTTTTTTTGTCGGCCAGCTGTTTTTTAGAGCGCAAATGGCAACCCCTCCCACCCCTCCCCAAAAACGGCTCAAGCACCAGTCCAAAACACTAGGTAGTGGGAAGCTAATTTGAGGTTCCGAGGGTTTGTGACCTGAAAGCCGCTGGATTCCACACTCCAAATGCCCAGGACCGTATCGCGCAAGGAAACCGTTTCGCGCCGCGTTGTTCGTTTTTTTTGGGGGGGGGCTGGGGACGTCGTTTTGTGGTTGAGACCGAAGGGAGACGGCACCATTTTTTTGGGACCCCCGCAAAAAGAAGACGCCCAAATGTATTTCCCTGGAGCCAGGTCCAACAGGTTCCGGCTGAGCATACCACCTGTGCTCTTGCTGAGGCTGGGTACCATCTTAAGTTGGTTTAAATGGAAACCAAAAGGAACAATGCCAATTTGGGGGCCCCCCGAGTCGCTGGTGTTTCCATAGGGGAAAATGACGTCGTTTTTCGCCAACTGTCAGCTATTGGCTGTCAGGTGTTTCATCATTATAGTCAAGGCCCAAAAAAGTTCAAGCATTTTTGTTGGCCGTCCAACTCAGATTACTGTGAAGGGGATGCCGTTCTCGACGCCTCCATGCCCTGTTCGACGCAGCCGGTTTGGTCTGGGCCGACCGCAGACGAGGCTTAGCTTGGGCCTGCTGCAGCGGATGGCTGCGCAGCAGGACCCGATGTCTCCGATTTGTTCCACATGTTTTGAGGTTCTCGCTGCCTGAGTTCCTGGACTTCATCGCGTTTTGGGACCCATGTTTGTGGTAAATAGAAGCTTCAGACTTCTTTGGGGGCAATCCACTCTGAAGAAACAGAGTTTTGTCTTTGGTAGACCCCGGAATTGGGCAACAGCAGTCGACGTGTCCTCAAGGATCTCTTTGGCTTGGTGCCGTTTTTTCGGTCGATGTTTCAACAGGTTGCTCAACTCGAAATTGGCACACCAGAGGGGAGTCCCAGTTGTAACCCCATCTCAGTTGTGTCCTTTTAGTTCTGGAAACCCAAAAGGACTCCGATCTTCTAGACTTGCCCATCCGAAGCCGAACCTTGGGATCAATCTCTGAGCTGGAAGGTGGCAACAGAATGCGAGGGACGATCAAAACCAATGCGACCTGTGATTTGGTGGGATTTTTTTGACGACCCTTTGGAACGTGATGATTTTTCCCAAACAGCAAGTTCTCCTTTTGGTTTCAATGGTACCAAGCCTCAAAAAGGCAGACCCATGTTTCGCTCACGAACAACTGGTTTTGACGCCCAACATCTCAAGTGCTGTCGAAAAAGCAGTGGTTGGGTGGTGCTGGCATGTGTCCCCCCAAAGAATTGCCCGGCCTCAAACTTTGCATGACAGACCTTCCGGGTTTTGGCAATTCGCCGGAAGGGGGTCCCCCTTTTTGAGGGGCACCACAAGACATGGTTCATATCTCGGGAAAGACCCAAGGCTTTGGGAATGCAGTCAGTCTCAGAAATCACCAGTTGGATGGTGGTTTGGTCGTTTCCTTTCTCATCCCCCGCCTAATGTTAACCCCGGATTAATAAACCCCTGGTTGATGAGTAGGGGGGTGTCCCCTTTTTGTGTGGGTTCATCACTTTCGCAGGGAACACCCCTGTCTAAGAACGTGACAGGTTTATTCATCCGGGGTCAACATTATCAACATCCCAATCCCCACTAAAATAGGTTCTAAAATGGGTGGAGAATTCACCAATCCCACCCAAAATGGGATCAACCAAAACGGTTTTGACAACCGCAGCCCCGAGCCTTCGGCCGTTGCTCGCGGCGCGAGGTGCAGGCGTCCACGGTGTGCTACGGATCCGCGCTGGGCGCCTGCGGCTGGCGCTGGGCCGTGTGGCTCCTAGGAGAGCCCAGTACCCAATGCCGGTAAGGAATCAACAGGGCCAGGAATGAACCAATGGATCCCTGAGAACAAAACAAGAAGCCAGGGATGCCCATCCACATGGAACGAGGGTCCTGGTTTGGCCCGTTTTGCTTAGGGGCCATTTTCCTAGGTTCCATGTGGAACAAAGGGTAGGGAGCGGGGAGCGGAATGCGGAACGGAACGGCAGGGCCGGCCGCTCTTTTTTGTTTTGTTTTCTTCTTCTTCTCCGTCTTGTATTTTGAGGATTTGTTTAAAGTAAGCCGCTGATTCGTGGTTTGGATTGGTGGGTTGGATTCGGATTTGCTGGGACACGATTGGCTTCTGCAGTTGTTTGTTGGCAATGTGTTGTGTCATTTTTCTCGGTTTGAAACAGGTGGGTTCCACAGACCCAAGTGGTTTGGGTCGAGCCAGGGCGCATTTTTGTCTCGGGATATTCTTTTGGTGTCACTCAACTTGAATCGCAGACGCCTTCTCCCCTTGGGGATTTACGATAAACAACCGCTGGGTTCTCAAAATGATGCACCGCTTGGATACTTTGACAAGGAACTCCCACAGGAAGCCTTGGCTCTTCGCCGTTCTCCACGGCGTCTTTTTTTGTTGTTTTACCGCGCGAGATGTTTCACCAGGGCCAGCCGTATTTCGTTTTAATACGGACCCCTCCCGTGTTTCTTTGGTATCCGCCCGCCATTTTTCTGTGGCCATTCGACCCCCAGCTGCTGGACTCCTTGGGTCGCGGAGAGTCGCGGAGCGTCGCTTCCGTTGGAGGGGTAGCCAGGGAGTCCTTGGAGTCACTGATGGCAACTGTCGGTCTACTCACTTCCTGAGTTCATGAACTTTAAACTTTTTGGGACCATTCTAGTGGGAAATATAAAGTTTGGACTTTTTTTGGGCCATCCACTCAGCAAGTTGGTCTACTGTGGGTGGGGCAAGAGAAGAGAAGGGGGCAGCCAAGCCCATTTCGAAAGAAAAAGCTGGAAGGACCAGCCCCAATTTGCCCAGGTCTTGGGGAACAAAGAGCATTGTGCTTCACTCGCGTTTGTGCTTTATCGGATGAGATGTTCTCGAAGTTTCTTTATGCTGAAGGGTGTTGCTTTCTTTGAGATCTGCTTCGCTTTCATGGTGTTGCAGACTCTGCTGTTTGGCTTCCGCAGGCCAGGTTCAATCATGCTTCCAGTAAATGTCTGGTTCTTGCCTAGTGCGTGTCTAGTACAGTCCATAAGATGTTTGCAGTTCTGGCACATGTCCAGACCTTCTCAGCAGAAGGCTAGCTTGTGTCTCGCATCTTCCTGGCACGTGTCGAGCATGTCTCCAGCATATCCCAAGCAAATCTAGAACACACAGCACACTTCTACTCTACTCCGGAGTATGCCCAATGCGTCTCTAGCAGATGCCTAGTATAACGTCTAGACCTGTCAAACTTAAAATTGTGTGTCAATTGTCTGACAGTCGTCCAGCTTCATGTCCTCTGGCCGGGGGGAGGGTTAGCTGTGGAACTTCAAGTGTTTCCAATGTGCTGTATGAGAACCTCGTGCGTTATCTTGTGCTCAAGGCAACATGTGTTCTACTTGGAAGCAGCGATTTCCTTTTTTGTCGCATGAGACTCACGGCCTGCAGAGGCAGGCCGGGGGCAAGTTGTCAGGAGCCCTTGGTCGGCGAATCGGACTTTTGGCCCCCCCAATGGATTTGGATGTCAAGCCCATCTTGAAGGGAGACGGGACACCCCCCAGTTTCACCTTCAAACCGGGCTCCAAAACGCTGTAATGTGGAACAAAGAAACCATGTCTCAGGTAATTGGTGCTTTGGATTGGGGATTTGAATCGCTGGTCCTTGCGGTTTTTCATGGGAAACCACCCAACCTCCACACCTGCAAACTTTGAGCGAAGCTGAATGTAGACACTGAGCCACTTTTCTCATTTTGTTTTGTTCTGGTTTGTGCCAGTTTTGGGGCTGGCTACTTGGATTACCAGCCCAGTTAGTGGTGAATCCTTCATTTCGTCGCCACACAGTTGAGGGTCTTACTTGGGGGTCCCAATCACTTTCTAGTTGGGCCCTTGAAATCCCTTTGTGTTCGGTAGGTTCTCCACTTAAACAAAATATATCAGCCCCAAAACGTGGGTTCCAGCTTTTTTCCTGCGGGCGCACGAGGAGAGATGGCCGACTGCAGGCTCCAGCCAGACTTGGTGGCACACACCTCGGCGGCTCGGCCCAAAAACCGTCAAGGGGTTGGGCCCGTTTTGCAGAGGTCTGGCATCAATCCGCCGGGTCCTGCGATGATCGCGGTTTCTCTTGTGGCGCAGGGTGGGGTGGGGTGGGGGTGTGGGGTGTGGGGTGTGGGGTGTGGGGTGTGGGGTGTGGGGTGTGGGGTGTGGGGTGTGGGGTGCGGGGTGGGGGTGCGGGGTGCGGGTGGGGTGGGGTGTGGGTGTGGGGTGTGGGGTGTGGGGTGTGGGGTGTGGGGGTGTGGGGTGCGGGTGTGCGGGGTGCGGGGTGGGTGCGGGGTGCGGGTGCGGTGTGGGGGTGTGGGGTGTGGGTGTGGGGTGGGGGTGTGGGTGTGGGGTGGGGTGCGGGGTGCGGGGTGGGTGTGTGTGGGTGTGGGGTGTGGGGTGTGGGGTGGGGTGGGTGTGGGTGTGGGGTGTGGGGTGGGGTGTGGGGTGTGGTGGCGGGGTGGGGTGCGGGGTGCGGGTGTGGGGTGTGGGTGTGGGGTGTGGGGTGTGGGGTGTGGGTGTGGGGGTGTGGGGTGTGGGGTGCGGGGTGGGGTGTGGGGTGGGGTGCGGGGTGCGGGGTGCGGGGTGGGGGTGCGGGGTGGGGTGTGGGGTGTGGGGTGGGTGGTGGTGGGTGGGGTGTGGGGTGTGGGGTGTGGGTGTGGGGTGTGGGGTGTGGGGTGTGGGGTGGGGTGCGGGTGTGGGGTGTGGGTGCGGGTGCGGGGTGCGGGGTGTGGGGGGGGGGGGTGTGGTGTGGGGTGTGGGGTGTGGGGGTGTGGGGTGTGGTGGGGTGGGGGGGTGGGGCGGGGTGTGGTGGGGTGTGGTGGGGTGTGGTGGGGTGGGGACGGGTGGGGCGGGGTGTGGTGGGGTGTGGTGGGGTGTGGTGGGGTGTGGTGGGGTGTGGGGTGTGGTGGGGTGTGGTGGGGTGTGGTGGGGTGTGGGGCGGGGTGGGGTGTGGTGGGGTGTGGTGGGGTGGTGGGGTGTGGTGGGGTGTGGTGGGGTGTGGTGGGGTGTGGTGGGGTGTGGTGGGGTGTGGTGGGGTGTGGTGGGGTGTGGTGGGGTGTGGGGGGGTGTGGGGGGGTGTGGGGGGGTGTGGGGGGGTGTGGGGTGTGGGGTGTGGGGTATGGGGTGGGGTGTGGGGTGGGAGTGGAGGGAGTCGGGGGGTTTCTCTTGTTGTGGTGTCCTGCTAAGTTACTGGATTGCGGAGCAGGATCAGAGAAGCCTTTCTTTTGACCAGCCCAGCTTACTGGGGCGAATTTTCTGACCCGTTTCTGGGCGAATAATCAGAGTCAGGAACTGATGTTCCGTTGAATGGGTGTTCGGCCCAGTTGGCAAGTTGTTGGTATCTTAGGTTACGACTCACTTGTAAGTCGCCCTTAGTGGAGTGAACCCTGTTATTTCCGGGTCACAACCCAAGTGGCCCACCACTTATTAGCTTGGCCGAACATTCATGTTCCTTTGCTAAACTTTGGAGGTTGGCAAATGAAACGGACATGCTAAGCAACTAAGAGCATTTCTCCCCCCCCCCCCAACCAAAAAGGGGACACTTCCTTATAGGATTTCAGAGAAAGGCTCAACATGAAAAACATCCAGGAGGCCGGGACACTTGGCACGTACCATGAAACGCCATTGGTACTCGATGGCTTGGACACCTCGGGGTTGCAACCCGCATGACTTTGATGCGGCGGATCCTGAGCTGGACAAACAATGTGGGCGCGCCGTTTCTTTTTTTGAGGCTCGGTACCCTTGAAAAGAGAACCACCTATCTTGGGCGTCCCCCCCCCCCCAGTTTCACACACACACACACCAATGTGAGTTGCGGGTGAAGTTGTGAAGCTTGTTGCCTATTCATAGGTCCAGCAGATGCACGCCTTGTTCAATTTTAACATGGCACCGTCAATCGACTGCAGACTCTATGAGTGCAACAAGAGCAACAAAACAATGCAACAGCGCCCACATTTTTTTTGCTCAATAGGTCCGCTTTGAAAAGGCTGAAGCAAACTCTTGACACCAGCCTCCAATTCTCCCTCCTCACCCATCCAGCTCACGCAGTTTGAGAGGCATGTGTCCCTTTATATCCTTCATACAAGTTCATACTCAAGCTTGCTCACCTTCTCTTCCCTGCCTTTTTTGCACCCATACCTTAGAACTGAAGAACATGATGCGCTTGACTCCTGGCCCTTCGGGCCTTCGCTTCGCGTTGCGCTTCTTCGCGTCGAGGCAGGCCTTGCGCTCGCCCACGGCGCCCAGTGGCGCGCCGCGCTCGACGTGGCCGCGGAGAACTGCGTGGGGCGCTCCGCGCTGGCACTGGCCTGCGAGGAGCCCTCGCCGAGAGCGAGAGCGAGAGCGCTCGCGCGAGCGGTCGCTCGGGTGCGCGGTTTGGTCGTCTTTTTTTTGGGGGGGGGAGACTTCAATTGGGGGGTTTCCGGGGTGTGGGAGTTTTTGGGTTGCGCCCAGCAGGTCTCGGGTTCAGTGTGTATGGCATACTTCTGAAAGGAGCTCACATGCGATCGACCCTGTTCGACGAATTGGTCTCCCTGAGTGGGGTTAAGCCTGTTATTAGCGGATTGGAACCCCGAGGCCACTTTCTACATTGGCCGAACATCCAAGTACCTTTCAACTGTTCATCCTTTGTTCTTTATTTCTCCGCAACTACTTGGTCAGAGGACAGTGGTGAAACTTGCAGTTCAGGAAAACATCTCACCCTGACAGTTAACTCAAATGCCTGGGTGGCAAATGCACGAAATAACTTCTCTCTTCGGTTTTTATCACCCCTGCTTTTTCAAGAACTCCAGCAACCCCCAGTTAGTGGTTTGGGAAGTTGAGCCCCTGGTTCTTGTAGAGGTTAAATGGGAAACCACTCCTTAGTCACCAAACCACCAATCCAAAGGGGCAACAAACCAAGCTTGCGGAGAGCTTCTCACGGCGGATGGGCCGTGGGAAGCTCGCCAAAGTCCGGCTTCCACGGCCTTTCGTCCGCTTCGAGGTTCGCTGGTTTCCGGATTTGCGCATCGTCATGTTGTAGGGGGAACCTGCCGGTTTTAGATTTGGTTTCCGTTGAACACCCATCCAAAGCTACCCAAAAAGGACACGGGGACGAGCTCTAGATCTGGATCAGGGACCAAATGTCCAGAAGTTTCCCATGTGGGTGTGGTTCCTTTTAAATCCATGTTGCGGGGTCCCTTGAATTGAAGAAAAGAACACACCCATGCCCCTTACGAGAAAGGCATTGGGGACCCGACTTGCGTGATGTGAAGCTCAAAGGGCTTCAAGGTGTTTCTCTTTCCACTTGCGATTGTCGCAACCAGACGCAACAAATGGGTGTGTCTTTTTAGAGGCATGTTTTGGTTTTGGAGTGGTTTCAAAGGGAAAGCAAAAGATCACCCACCCAATCGAAAGGTTTCCCCATTTTGAGACAACTCCAAATGAAGGGAAACCGACTGATTTCCAAAAGCCGCAGAAGTTTAGTGGCCATTCCATAAGTCTTCCAACAGCTCATCTTGGGAAGCCAGTCAGTGGCAATTCTTGGTATTGGGGCGGAACCCATTGGTTTGGATTAGGTGACCTTTGGATGGTGAGTTGGGCTAAAAATCGATGGGTTCCACTGGTTTGGATTCTGGATGGGAGGTTTATCGCATTTGCCAGGGAAACCCATCGTCGAACGTCTCGGAATGGGAAAACCGGGCATCCCAAACCGCCATGGAGGACAGCGGACAGCACCGGCAGGCGGAATCGACTCGGAAACTCGCGCGCGCGCGACGGAATTCCGCGGGCGGACTTTGCACTTTTGGGGAAGATACATGTGGGTTTGTCTCAAAATAGGGGTCCCCCCCTCCTCCCCCCCCAAAAAAAACCACACGGTAACGGTTTCTGTTTGGTTCCCCTTTCAACCCTTCGGGTGGCAGGGTGAGTGCCTAGGACATGAACCTCCCCAACATGGTCGTGAAACATGCTTCCACAGGGGTAGCCTCAACATTTGATACCTATATGTGTGCGCTGTGGTCCAAGTGGATTACCACTCAAGGTTTGTATAAAGTCTAGTTGACTCCGCTCGGGCTTTCCAGTACGTGTTCACGTCCGCATGGCAAGCCTAGCATCGCTTTTGCTTGCTTCTTGTTCGGAGGACCTTGCTTGCGGCCAGAACTTGTTTGGTGCAAATGGGTCATGAGGCTAATGCTACCAATACATTCAGTGCTGCCACATTTGAATGTTTCACCACGACTGAGCCTCCCCCCCACCGCAATGGCAGCGGCATCATGTTTAAGTAAGATAGTGCAGGAAACACGAAAACATCGATGTGTTCAGAGGGAAGCAGACCGGGGGTCAGTCCAGCTTAAGGGCCCAGACATGTACTTTTAAACCAGATTTAGTCATGTTAGTTGGCGAAAATTATTGGTATTTTGTTGCCCCGAACGCCCAAATCCGAGCGCTGAACTGACCTTGTTTGAAGGTGCCGCAGCTTCTGTCGCCCCTGGAGCCCCTGGCGGTGGAGATGCTGCAAACCGCGCGGCGAGTTGCCATGCCGGGAACTCAACTCGGCAGGGCGGGGTTCGCTCGAACGCAAAGGGCTCGTATCAGGAGTTCGCACTTGCGCGTCGAATCTTGTGCGGTACCCCGTTTGATTTTAACGGGAAATCAAAAGGAAAGCCAAAGTCCATTTTGGGGGGTGCCTGAAAAGAAGCGACACCCACTTTAAGCTGGTTTCCTTTCGAGTGGGTTGAAGGCCTAAAGGGGGGCCCTCGTTAAAGATGGGTTGAACATCACCTTGGGCCAGTTTGAAATGATTGTATTTGCGTGATGTTCACAGGCAGGGTTTCCCGAACCGCAAAGGTCTTGGTTCGGCCGGCGGCGCTCAGAAGGCTTGGGCCGCTTCAATCCAGGCGCCTTTGCCGTTTGAGGGTACCTGTATGTTGTAGGTGTAGAGGGAAGCCAAAAGGAACAACGCCATTTTTTTTCCCCCGCAAGAAAGACAGCCATTTCAGTGGTAATTCAAGGCGCGGTTTTTGTCCACTTGTTTGATTTTCGCCAGACTTGGCCTTTCCCGCAGTTTGGGGGAACTTTCTTAGTGGACAACCCCTCCAAATTCGAAAAGCGCGAAAAACACGAATTTCGCGGTCCGAAGTTTGTTTTTTTCGCGCGTTTCGGACCTCGAAAAGCGTTCTGGCATCATGTTCGGCGCGGCAGAGTTTGTAGCAATTCTCCCAGATGGACCCCAGGATGTTTTCACCAACGCAGGAAGTGAGCTTAGTCCTTATCTCATCTCCGGAAAGCGCGCCCAGCTTACTTCTCAAGTTGGGTTTGGACGACCATTTGGGCTTGCCGTTTGAGGGTACGTTTTGGTCCACGTTTTCCGGCACCCCCGGATTTTTTAACCAACACAGGGACTTACCAGCGGGAAGCTCCTGCGTCAGAGAATCGGCTGCAACGAGTCACGGAGTTTGAGGCTTTGTTTGCTCTACTGGGGCGTGCGGTCGGCCGGAAGATCAGAGATTTGTGTAAGGGGTGTGGACAAGGAGCAAATTTGGTTTTTAGAGTTTGAGGTAAACTTTCCAGGTGGACATTTCAATATAGTATATATATATACATGTCTAGTCCAAGTTCGATGGAATAGAGCACTCGAGCGTCGGAGGTCCTTCAAGGTTGCGATTTGGGTTGCGCCCCATTTGCCATCACCCGTTGACCCAGGCCTGCGCTGACGTCCGCCCAGCGGCGGAGAGAAAAGCTGAGCTGGGAGGTTTTTAAATGGGTTCTTTTTCCCGTTGGCGTTGTTGGGCGTCAGTTTGTGATCAAAGTCAGCTGGGATTTCCCTTTCACATACCATTTGTCCTTCCATGTCCTTCCTTTTTTTTTTTTTTGGGGGGGGGGGCGACTTTGATGGTAGAATCATGGGGCCAGCGTTCTGAGTCATTATTTTGGTTCTGCTTCTGGGGGATGTCAAAGTCTGGGATTGTTTTGCTTTAACCTCGGGGGGGTGCCTTGGGGAAAAATGCGCAGGCTTGTAGTATTTGTGGCAAGCACAAAGGCCGGGAATATATATATATATATATATATATACCAAACACATTATTATTATCACAAATCTTAGTATTATTTATTATTTTTATCATGATTATCCGTATTCTTATTCTTATTCTTATTCTTCTTATTATTACTATCATCATCATCATTATTATTATTATTATTATTATCATTATTATTATCATTATTATTAGTATTATTGTATATATATATATATAGTGTGACCTTCGGCCGCTCACGATGAGGGCCGCTCAAGCGCGTAGAAAGCAACTTCAGCATTGTTGATGACGTGAGGCTTGTTCTAAGTAGGAGATAAACCATGTATGTGAAGCGAGGATAGTTTAAGCCCAACCAAGTGAAGCAAATCCCCCCCCAACAAAACACAAATCCCAGCTGGGCATGTGCAAAAGCACGCGCCGTTAAACGATAGGTTCTCCAGAATTGCCTTCTCCACAAGCTGTATTGAACATGGCTCATAGAAATTCCAGCGCACGACCGATCATTGCGACCAATGTCTCTGGTCCCAACGCTGTCACTACTTACAAGCTTGCAGTGCTTGTAGAGCTCTTGTTGGGTGGCTATCACCATTATCTCTTTTCGTTTCGTGATTGCAGTATTTGCTTTGTGGTGTTGCCGAGGGAAGCGCAAAGGAACCGCTGATTTTTTTGGGGGTGACTTCTGCCCATGAAGCTCGAAGCTGAGCGGGTCGTTCTACGCTGTGAGGTCATGCGAGAGTCCTCTGAGCGGCTCGTTTCACGTTTTTGTAACTTCTGGGGTTTCCTCCAAAATGATTTTGATCTTTTGGGGTGGACGACAGCTTGCACGGAATCAGCAAGTCTCAGTTTTGGAGTACCCCAGATTTGGGCTAAGACTCCAGCGTGTACTTGATCTTCACATGAACTTGCGAGACGGGATTTGGTTTGCGACCGATTGGTCCTTTGTTTTAGATTGATGGAACATTTTGTTTAATTTGCCCAGTGGGGGGCGTGGCCTGAGTTTGCCTTTAGAAGTGTGACTAGCAGTGCTTTGTATTCTTGGGTGTGTCTTCTTTGAGGGTACCCCCTGCGGGGTTTTGAAGGAACACCAAAAGGAACACCACCATTTTGGGGGGGCGGGTCCTGTAAAAAAGCGAAAAAGGAAGGCGATGGACATGTTTGAGGTTTTCCTGACCCCACCTTGGACTGTTTGCTGCTCCCGTGCAAATGGATCCACAAGTCGCCTGGGAGACTACGAGAGACAAAAGGCATTGCCGAGCGAAGTGCGGCTGTGGATGGAAGAAACTCCCCGTTTTCGCACCAGTTGGGATGGATGAAGCCATAGTAACATTGAGGTTCAACGGGAGTGCTTGCGCACCGTTGGCCGTGTGAGTGTGGGGAAATTTGCCGAGCGAAGTGCCTTCACAGTATGCTGGAAGTATCTCTGGACTCGAAGGCGACAATGTACAATCCACTGCCTTGACACTTCCTGCATGTGTCCCTTGGAACCAATCATGTTCAGACCTCGCCAATCAATGACCAATAATTAACAAGAAGTCCGCAGATTTGTAGCTTGGAGTTCCCTACCAATTTCGGGCAGGTCGGGATTTGCTGATTTCGCTGCAAAGAATCGCTTGGAGCACGTCAACACGGAATCTCTGAAAAGGTTGGTGGTGGCCTTTGATTTCAAATGGACCAGCCCCTTTTTTCGGTTTGAGAACCAGTTGGGAAAGCAACGCCTGGGGTTAGAAAAAGCCCATGATATCACCCATGAAAGTTCGGAAGGCAGCTCACGCGGGAAGCCAAAGCTCACCACTCACCGCAGATGAAGGCCCTCTTTCCAGGTGAATGCTGCAAATCCCGGATATGTGATTCTAGATTTCCCAGACAGCCGAAAAAGACTCGTCCTTGAGGACAGGGACCCGGGACCCCCCGTTTTTGGGCGCGCCCAGCGCGAGGAATTGGCGGCCTCACGGGAGGCGCCGAGGCGGTGTTGGGATGGCGGCCATTCAGCGCATTGGCTTGGCCTTTGGTCGGCTTCAGCACGTGGAGCTAACGGGCAAAACGTGATGTTGGAAGTTAGCATTCCATGGCAGGGGCCAAGAATGGGAGAAATGGGATGGGAAGTGAGCACGTATTCCACCAATCACATCCCAATCCCAATTGAATTCCACCGCCAATCCAAACCTCACCCACTCACGCCGCACAATCGCCAGGGAGCACCGGCAGGGGCCCCCCAGCTGAAGCAACGATCGCCAGCCTCAGAAAATCGGGTTCCCCAGGAACTGTTGGTCGTTTTTAGCATAGGGATCCGTCACGAAGATGGGAGCGGCCACCTTTTTGGTGACAAAAAGAAGGAACCGCATCCAGTTCTACGGGTCGCATTGCCGGTTGGTGCCTCTCTTGAGGTTGACATGTAATGTTCAGATGGAGAAATCAAAGCCACCCCATCATGTGAGGTATCCCTTCATTGGTGGTTTGGATTGCTTGTTTTGGGGATTTGAAGCCCTGGTTCTTGTAGAGGCTAGATGGGAAGTCATTCCCTAACCTCCAAACCACCGGTTCCCAAATTACCAATGAGGGCGGAACTCCGCAATTTGGAGCTTGTTGTTGGTCAGCAGGTGCGTCGCTGTCGGAAATCGCGCTTGCAGGTTCTTCCTTCAGTGCGTATCTTCATCCTAACTCTTTGACTCTTTTACTGTAAAGCACAAAGTCGCGTTCAAGACGGAGACGGCAAGAGCGGGCAGGTTCCATGCGGCAAATGCATGCAAGCAGTGGTGAGTTCGTCTCCCCCCAGAACCGTTTGCTTTTCTGTTGGCTTCTCCTAAAAATCAAAAACAGCAAAACAGTTTGGGAATGGCCATCACAACAGGGGAAGCCATGAAAACAGTTTGGGTTAGTCATGGTGCTTCCTGATTTTTGGCTTTACCTCAAAAAAGAAAGAAAAACAAAGCACACGGACAGCATCACAAAAAGGGCGCCGTGTCAAGAGTCCCGCGTCTGAGGTGCATCTGGCGAGACGAGCTGGATGTGAGA